GTCCTTCTTTTCAACCGCTAGAGTGGTGTTACCCCTTAATACACAAAACCTATAAAAATAGAAGATTGCTAGTAAAAGTGAAACATACGGAACATCGCACAATGAAAATTACATCAGTTTTACGTTATAAAAGAATAATGATTTATAGGTACAAAAGTTAAATCTATTGACTATCCTTATAGAAATATCATACTTTGATTTACTAAAACCAAATTTTAAAATTAAATAAAAAAGATGCTTCCTGAAACTTATTGCAAAAAGTCGAACAACTTTACTGTCCACAATAGTACATAAAAAAATGAATATATATCGCATATTATATATGTCCTTTTATTACATATTACAAAGGATACTTGTAATAAAATATTTAAACAAAATAAAGATATGTATAAAATCTGTATAAACTTTAAGCTGCTATATCCTTACTGCGGCTATTCCGTTTTATGTCAGAAAATAATGCGAGAAATTGCAGGTCAATTCCCCTATAGAAATATCATACTAAGAATCATTGATAATTACTTATTATCCAGTATTTTTAATACTGAAAATAAGTACTTATCAATGATTCTTAGTATGATATTTCTATAAAGGTTATACATGGAATTAAAAGAATATACGTATAAAGCGAAACTCTCGTGATTGATTCAGCACATGTGCAAACATGTCCAAAAAATGCACTATAACAATCAAAAATTAAAATACTATAATGTTACGTCCTGTGCAGACATAAGTCATGCACTCTATCTTTGTTTACTCTGTCGGGAAACAACAAACAATTCCGAATCGTAAGACCGTTTTTCGTCTTTCCCCAATAAAAATTCCGACTAAAATTCCGAAATAACCCTAGGAAATACAGCACTAAAACTCCTTAATCCGCGAAGTAAACTTCGCCTTATCCTTGGGATCAAAAGGAACCGCTGGATAACAAAAAATTATGTCCGTTACATTTTTTAACTTACGTTATCCGGTTCCGCTTCATCTGCTGATTCCCTCACCACCTTAAAAATCCTCCAATAACCTTCTCTTTTGAAATGTATGATTTTCTCCACCCACAACCCCAGCCAAGAAGATTTCCTTAACACTGTCTACTTACTTACTACTGGATACAACAGTTCCCCATACCATTTTCTCTGACGAATCCAACAACCTAGGATCTCCCAAATTTCCACATCTTCCCTACCAAACCATTTCCAGTTGATATCGTATATAACCGCGACTCCGCGCACCGCGGATCACTAAGGAAAAATCCAAGTATCCTAAGAGTTCAGCTACCCAACTCTCTGTACTTATTGCTGTATTCATCGTGCGATCGTCCGCAACCCTCACACACAAATACCAGGTTCTATTCAAACGAGGATCGAAGGGGGCCCAACTGAGAAATCCAGCAACAGTTACTCTCTCCTCCAAATCGCACATCAACAGTAAGTTATCATTTTGTTACTCGTTTTCTTCCCCCCAATATCAAAACTTTAACTCTGGGTAGATGTCTTCCCATCTTAACCCATTGGTAATTCCGGGGTGTCAACTTCTCTAAATTGATTTGTCCCGGAGTACGCACAGGTTGCTACCTAGACTCCTGGATCAGCAAAAACCTACCACCCTTTCCACCCCACTTGGCGGTTTTTCCTTTTTTTCCTCAAAATCTGCCTCTTCATCCAGCACCTCCACCTATTCCTCCATCTTCCCCCACGACCTACGTTTCACCCTCTTCACCTCCCAATGATCCTGAGCATTAATGCTCAGCCTCACCCAGAAGTCCACACACACACTCACACAAACACACACACACACGCGTACTTTGTCTCCGTGCCAGTAGTTAATAAAAATTGTAACAACCCCGCAAGAAAAATAAATGTAATCGTTAAGAATTATCTAAAT